TTCATGTCCTTGTCAGCATTTGATGTTGTCAGTGTCTGGATTTTGACCATTCTAATATGTGTGTAGTAGTGTCTCACTGTTGTTTTAATTTGAATTTTCCTGATGACATATGATATGGAGGATCTTCTCATATGCATCTTTGCCATCTGTCTCTCTTCTTTTTTTTTGAGATGGAGTCTCACTCTGTCGCCCAGGCTGGAGTGCAGTGGCCGGATCTCAGCTCACTGCAAGCTCTGCCTCCCGGGTTCCCGCCATTCTCCTGCCTCAGCCTCCCGAGTAGCTGGGACTACAGGCGCCCGCCACCTCGCCCAGCTAATTTTTTTTGTATTTTTTTTAGTAGAGACGGGGTTTCACCGTGTTAGCCAGGATGGTCTCGATCTCCTGACCTCGTGATCCACCCATCTCGGCCTCCCAAAGTGCTGGGATTACAGGCTTGAGCCACCGCACCCGGCCTGTCTCTCTTCTTTAGTGGGGTGGCTGTTAAGGTCTTTGGGCCATACTTTAATCAGATTATCTGATGGAGTTTTAAGAATATATTTATTTGTGTATTTACATAGTAGTCCTTTATAAGATATATCTTTTGCAAAGATTTACTCCTAGTCTGTGACTTGTCTTTTAATTCTCTTGATAGTGGCTTTAGCAAAGTAGAAAACTCACATTTGATTGAAGTCTAGCTTATCAATTCTTTCATGGGCTGTGCCTTTGGTGTTATAATACAAAAAGTCATCATCAAACCCAAGGTCATCTAGATATTATTTCTCCTTTACTATCTTCAAGGAATTTTATAGTTTTATATTTTACATTTAGGTCTGTGATCCATTTTGAGTTAATTTTTGTGCAGGGTGTAAGGTCTTTGTCTGTATTTGCTTTGTGTGTGTGTGTGTATGTCTAGTTATTCCAGCTCCCTTTGTTGAGAAGACTTTTCTTGCTCTATTGTGCTGCCTTTGCTGATTTGTCAAAGATCAGTTGACTATGTTTATATGGGTCTATTTCTGGGCCCTCTGTTCTGTTCCATTGATCTATTCACCAATATGACACTGTTTTGATAACTGTAACTTTATAGTAAATCTTGAAGTTGAGTAGTGTCAGTCCTCCAACTTTGCTTTTTCACTTTCAGTATTGTGTTGGCCATTCTGGGTCTTTTGCCTCTCCACATATATTTTGAACCAGTTTGTTAATATCTACAAAATAACTTGCTGTGGTTTTGACTGGGACTGCATTGAATTTATAGATGAAGTTGAGAAGAACTGACATCTTGACAATATTGAGCCTTCCAGTTTGCAAACATGAGGTATCTCTCCATTTATTTAGTTTTTAAATTTCATCAGGGTTTCATAGTTTTCCTCATATAGATCTTGTACATATTTTGTTAGATTTATACCTAAGTGTTTCTTTGTGATGCTTATATTTATTTAGGGACAGGGTCTTGCTATCACTTAGGTGGAGGTGCAGTAGTCCAAGCTGGAGGGCTGGAGTGCAGTGGCTCAATCATAGCTCTCTGCAGCCTCAAGCTAGGACTACAGGTATGCACCACCACCCCCAATTAATTATTAGTTATTTATTTTTGTAGAAATGGGATATTTAGTGTGTTCTCTCATTGCTATAAGGAACTACCTGAGTCTAAGTAATTTATAAGAAAAGAGATTTAATTGGCTCATGGTTCCACAGGCTTTACAAGAAACATGGCTGGGGAGGCCTCAGGAAACTTACAATCATGGCAGAAGGCGAAGGGGAAGCAGGCATGTCTTACGTGGCTGTAGCAGTAGGAAGAGAGAGAGGAAGGGGAGGTGCCACACACTTGTAAACAACCAGATCTCGTGAGAATTTGCTATCATGAGAACTGCAAGAGGGAAGTCTGCCCCTGTAAACCAGTCATGTCCTCCAACATTGGTGATTACAATTCGACAAGAGATTTGGGCAGGGAGACAAATCCAAACCATATCAGATGGGGTCTTGCTATGTTGCTCAGGCTGGTCTCAAACTCCTGGCCTCAAGTGATTGTCTCACCTTAGCCTCCCGAAGTGTTGGGAATATATGATCCACTGTGCCCAGCCTGGGGTGCTAATTTAAATGGTATTGTGTTTTTAATTTCAAATTTCACTTATTTGTTGTTGGTATGTAGGAAAGCCATTGGCTTCTATAGATTAACCTTGTATCCTGAAACCTTGCTATAATTGCTTATTAGTTCCAGGAATTTTTGTTGATTCTTTTAGATTTTCTACATAAGCAATTATATTATTAGCAAACAAAGACAGTTTCATTTCTTCCTTCCCAATCTGTGTACCTTTTATTTCCTTTTCTTGTATTATGGCATTAGATAGGACTTCCAGTAAAATACCGAAAAGGAGTGGTTCAAAAGGACATCCTTGCCTCATTCCTGGTTAGTGAGAAAGCTTTGAGTTTTTTTACCATCAGGTATGATGTTAGTTGTAGGGTTTTTGTAGATATTCTTTACCAAGTTGAGGAAGTTTCCTTCTACTCTTGGTTTACTGAGAGTTTCTATCATTAATGGATGTTAAATTTTGTCAAATGCTTTTTCTGCATCTGTTAATACGATCATGTGAGTTTTCTTTTTCAGCCTGTTGATTATTTTTGAATGTTGAACCAGTTTTGCATACCTGAGATAAAGCCCACTTGGTTGTGGTATATAATTCTTTCTATACATACTTCGATTCAATTTTCTAATATTCTTGTTGAGTGTTTTTATCTATGTTCATGAAAGATATTGGTCTTAGTGTTTTTTATTGTAATGTCTTTGTCTGGTTTTGTTATGAGGGTGATGCTGGCCTCACAGAATGAGTCAGAAAGTAATCCCTCTATTTCTGTCTTCTAGAAGAGACTGTACAGTACTGGTATAATTTCTTCCTTAAATGGTTGATAGAAATCACCAGTGAGCTTAGTCAAGCTTGGTGCTGTTTTGGAAGGTTATCAATTGTTGATTCAATTTCTTTAATAGATATTGGCTTATTTGGAGTGTCTTTCTTCTTGTGTGAGTTTTGGCAGCTTGTATCTTTCAAGGAATTAGTCCATTTCATCTAAATTATCATCTACTTTATTTTTAAAGATGTATTCCTGGGTATAGATAACTTTTCAATTTCAGTAAACTAGGACTAGAGGTTTTTTTTTTTTTTTTTCCTTTTAGTATTTAAAGTTGTCATTCCATTATCTTCTGGATTGCATGTTTTCTGATAATTTTGCTGTCATTGTTATATTTATTCCTCTGCATATGTTTTTTGTCTGGCTATGTTGATGATTTTCTCTTTATTTCAAAGTTTCAGCAGCTTAACTATGATGTATTTAGATGTGTTTTTGTTTGTACTAATCCTGCTTGAGATGCTCTAATCTTCTTGAATCCATGGTGTTTTGTCTTGCACTACTTTTGGGAAAGTCTCAGCAATTATCTCTTCAAATATTTCTCCTTCCTTGTTCTCTGTCTGTTCTTCTTTCCCCCTGGCTCTCCTTCCCCACTATTTCCCTCTCAGACTCCAGTTATCCGTACTTTAGTTTGATATTGTTCCAGAGTTGTTTTTTCTCTCTTCCCCTCTTTATATTTCCAGATTCTTTTCTGTGCTACATTCAATTAAAAATTGTTCATCTCTAACACTGTGTTTTTTCTTGCATTTATGTTTTTTTCTATAGTTTTCAATGCTTGTCTGAAATTTCCTATCTGTTCAATATGTCATCCACCTTTTCAATTATATCTTTTATAATGTTCACCTTGATTAAAGTCCTTGTTTGATGGGTTCTAACATCTGGGTGCATTACTCCTTTGTCTGTTTCTGTTGATTATTTGCCTTGCTTTTTGGAATGTATCCTGATTTTTTATTGAATGCTAGACCTTGTGTGTAACAGGATAGTGGAGACTGAGGTAAACAGTATGCCTAGCAAAGGACCTGTCTTTCATTCTGTTGGGTTGTCAGTGTGGAGTGTTGTCAGTCTGGTGGGGGAGTGGTGTGGGGCTTGGAGCGCTGAAGAGTTCTTCTCAGTGTTCCAGCAGCCTCAGACATACCATTCAGGAAGCCCCGCCACCTGTCTCCTATGCCTGTGCAACAGTGGGGAGGAGGAGGAGAACAAGCCTCTGCACTCCAGTGGTAGGCTGCTGTTACTTGATGCAGGGCTTGTGGAACGGGTGGTGAGATTTATCAGGGTTTCTTTTTGTTTCAGACTCAGTCTTGGGAAGGCCTTGTTGGTCTGAGCCTCATGGGTGGGGTGTTGTCAGGTGTTCTTTTCAGTGGAGGTTTTCATGACATATGTTTTTTTTTTTTCCTACCTCTGTGCACTATGCTGGGATTGATTTGAACATTGTTAGGAAAGGGCCCTTTCAAAGCTGTTGCCATTTTTGTTAAACGCTAGCATTCTACAGAGTGATCTTTGAAGAGTGTAGCTCTGATCCTGACCCTGCTTAAAACTCCTCTAGTGCACTCCATGGCCCCTTGGGTCAAAGGCTTTGAGCGCTACAGTCTTGTGCCTCTCATGCTGATCTTCCTTCAGTTATTTAAGTCTTGTCCTTCTCCCAGGCCCTAAACCATCTGTTTTGAGAGCAGATGTCTTTCTGTGTATTGCTACAGGAACTGGGTGGGGCAGGGAACAGTGCCTAGCACATGGTAGGGGCTGAGCCAGCTGTCTTGAAGGGATGAGTACAAGTACTCTGTTTTCTTTCTCCATTGGAAAGCCCTTCGCTCCCCTGCCTTCCAGCAGGCGAACTCCAGCCCAGTCTCCAGGTTCATACACAGGGCACAGGGAAGCATTTTACCCCTCAGTTGGGGGAGGGGCCTTTCTGCTGCCCCACCCCCTGCCCTGTGCCTGTCCATCCTGGTACACACAAAACAGTTCTGAAATTTCTGTGTCTCCCTCACTTCCTCCTCCTAGTGCCTTTGAGCAGCCACCTGGGGCTGGGCCTGCTGCACCCTGCCCCGGCAGGCCGTTGGTGAGCATACCCTGAAACTTTGCCATACGTGCGTGCGGAGTTAAGATTTTTAAAGCCCCTTTTCCTGTTTCAGGGAGAAGTGAGTCATCTCATTCCCCTCCGTGGATCCAAGGACTTGGGCTAGATAGAAGCATGTGGTGTCTCCTGCGAGGCCTGGGCCGGCCTGGAGCCCTGGCACGGGGAGCCCTGGGACAGCAGCAACCCCTGGGTGCCCGGGCCCTGGCCAGGGCGGGCTCCGAGAGCCGGGACGAGTACAGCTACGTGGTGGTGGGCGCGGGCTCGGCGGGCTGCGTGCTGGCCGGGAGGCTCACAGAGGACCCTGCCGAGCGCGTGCTGCTGCTGGAGGCGGGGCCCAAGGATGTCCGCGCGGGGAGCAAGCGGCTCTTGTGGAGGATCCACATGCCCGCGGCCCTGGTGGCCAACCTGTGTGACAACAGGTACAACTGGTGCTACCACACAGAGGCGCAGCAGGGCCTGGACGGCCGCGTGCTGTACTGGCCACGCGGCCGCGTCTGGGGCGGCTCCTCATCCCTCAACGCCATGGTCTACGTTCGTGGGCACGCCGAGGACTACGAGCGCTGGCAGCGCCAGGGCGCCGGTGGCTGGGACTACGCGCACTGCCTGCCCTACTTCCGCAAGGCGCAGGGCCACGAGCTGGGCGCCAGCCGGTACCGGGGCGCTGATGGCCCGCTGCGGGTGTCCCGGGGCAAGACCAACCACCCATTGCACTGCGCATTCCTGGAGGCCGCACAGCAGGCCGGCTACCCGCTCACCGAGGACATGAATGGCTTCCAGCAGGAGGGCTTCGGCTGGATGGACATGACCATCCATGAAGGTAGCGGCCTCCCTTCCCATCCGCCTGCCTTTTCTTTAAAAGCACTACCCCTTACCCCAGCCCCACCCATCTCAGCCCATGGCTCCTGGCTCCTGGCTCCAGCATGGTCAGGAGGCATGGGCAGACTGAGGCTGGCACGAGCGGGAAGAGATCTGGCTTAGTATACCCCCCAAGAGTACAACCCAGAGTCTTGAGAGTGACCCAGGATGGTGACCCTAGGCGTTCTCTGCGCCTCTGGCCCGTGTTGGTGTGGATAACAGAGAATCAGCTCTCTGGACAGAGAGCCTAAAGTCCTCTAGGAACTTGCATATGGGGAAACCGAGGCACAGCATGGTGAAGGGCCTTGCTCACAACAGGACAGAGGCAAGCCAGGGCTGACCCGGAGCTCCTGCCTGCCTCTTGAAGGCTCTCACCCCTCTGGCCGTGCTCCTGGTCTCTGTGTCCCCGTTTGAGGGTGAAGGGTACTTTTCCACCTGCGTCCAGGGGACCCCAGGCAGATGTGGACTCAGTAGGGCAGGGTCTTTACGTCTCAGCTTTACTTTGAAGGTGGGACTTGCAGTCAGAGCTGGGCGTATCCACTTTCTCCAGCTCCTTCCTCCGGCCCAGGTGCCACGGGAGGGCAGAGCCGTGCCTGACCACCTCACTCCATCCTGCAGGCAAACGGTGGAGTGCAGCCTGTGCCTACCTGCACCCAGCACTGAGCCGCACCAACCTCAAGGCCGAGGCCCAGACACTTGTGAGCAGGGTGCTGTTTGAGGGCACCCGTGCAGTGGGTGTGGAATATGTCAAGAATGGCCAGAGCCACAGGGTGAGTGGACTGCAGCTGGGATCCTGGCAGAAGGGGGTGGGCAGTGACCCTGCTGGTCCAGCTCAGAGTGGGCAGGAGTCACGCCCTCACACCTCCAGCCCCACGTGCTCATCCCTGTGATTGGCGTGGGGGAGGGGCGAGTCGCTGATGGCAGTGGGCTGGTGGAGGTGAGGAAGCCCCCAGTCCTGCCACCTAGAAAGGGCCTGTGGTATCAGTGCCCGTGTGCCATGCTTAATTCAGAGCTTTCCCCCAGTACCTTCCACACCATTTCAGGGCACTGACCTCACAGAAAGCTATAGGTTTACACTAGAGGTTTTAGAACCCATAAATGTGATCGTACTCTGTTTCTGTGGTGTGGGCAGGGGGTCGGATCGTTCTGCAGCTGCACGTGTAGATCTGGTTCACTGCTTGCTCTCTTTAACCACTCACTACCACTCACTTGAATGCCTGCTTTATCTCATGTAAGCCCTCCCCTCCTGTTTCTAAGGCCATCACTACTGTCTAGCTGTAGTTACCTGCTGGTTGCTTTCAAATAGTGACTCAGTGAGCTTCCTCTCCTTGGCTCTGGGGCCTGTTGGGTGTGTCACATGGATTCCACATCCCAAGGCCATGTTCTCATGGTGCTGGCTAGAGCAGGGGCACTGGTCTGTGAGTCAGGGGAACAGCTGGCTTTTCAGGGAGTGACCTGGCCGGACCTCTTCCAGGCTTACGCCAGCAAGGAGGTGATTCTGAGTGGAGGTGCCATCAACTCTCCACAGCTGCTCATGCTCTCTGGCATCGGGAATGCTGATGACCTCAAGAAACTGGGCATCCCTGTGGTGTGCCACCTACCTGGTGAGCCCCCTTCCTTACTGCTTCCCAGAGGCTGTTTCTGCTCAACAAATGGCTTACTGTATCTTATTAGCATGGAGTGGGGAGGTGGTGGCAGTCAGTGATCCTTGGAATTGTCACATCGTCCCCGTGAGCCTGAAGGTTTCCCAGGCCTCACTGGACACTGTCAGCCCTGGGGCCCGATTCTTGCATTGTTTTCCTTCTCCCTCCTGTGGCCGTCCTATTTCACTTGGAGAAGGGCACCCTGCAGCAGCGAGGATCTGCCCATGAAGCCCCGTTGGGTCGGGCATGGGCGTGTCACCAGGGCAACTCTATGGCAAGAGGGGTCCAGGTCTCATCCTTCCATCCACAGCACTCGCTGGCTGCCCTGAGCATGAATGAGGTCAGCTCTGTGCTCCAGAGCCTGCTCTTCATGTTAAGACGTAAATTTTATTTTATAAACTGTCTCTGATGCTCTTGAGGGCCGGGCTGTGTCTCTTGCCCTGCTTGATAACCCCACTCCGGGAGAGCTGGGCCTTTGTGCATTTAGGCTTCATCATGAGGGGCCCGGGGAAGTGCTGCTTCATGACGGTGACCTTCCCAGTGTCCCAATAGGCTTGGATGAATTCATGCAAGGGCTGCGTGGCACGACAGGGCTGCTTCCACGCTGTCGTGAGGGTGAGGCTGCTGTCTGCCCCTCTGGCCATCACCATCCAGCGACCGCTCACCAAGCAGTGCCTGCTGAAGACGTAGGCCCTGCCCTCACATAGGGGGCTGCTGAGCAGGGCTGACAAGGGGCACCCAGAAGCTGTCCTGGGAGTGAGTGACAAGGACAGGTGGCCTTGGCAGCATCTGAGGCAGGCCAGACTTGGCCAGGAGTGCAAGAGTGGTGTCTATTGGAGGCGGTCTTTAAGCTGAGACCAGGGGACTGAGCAGGAGCTGGTCCAGAAGATAAGTGAATAGGAAAGAATTTTTCAAAACCAGGGGGATATTGAGAAGCAGCTGAGCCCCCTTGGTAGCCATTTTCTTAACCACTCCTTCCCGTGTCAGGGGTTGGCCAGAACCTGCAAGACCACCTGGAGATCTACATTCAGCAGGCATGCACCCACCCTATCACCCTCCATTCAGCACAGAAGCCCCTGCAGAAGGTCTGCATTGGTCTGGAGTGGCTCTGGAAATTCACAGGTAAGCGCGCTCATCAGTAACCTGGGAGGAGACTGTCTGAGCATTGAGACCTCCTTCCTGAGGAGCTGAACAAGGGTTCTGGCCACTGGGCGCTGGGTTTGATGCTGAACTATGCCATTTACCTTAGCCCTGATCCTCAGTTTTTCATCTTCAAAATGGGGAGGCACAGTTGCAACCTGACAGGTTGAAACGAGGACCAGAAGCAATAGCACATGCCAAGGAACTTTGCCCAGGGCCTGCTGGAGGTGAGACTCCTCAGGGCTTAGGGGCTGCTCTTCCTTACAGATGGGCAGGGATGGCCTTGTGCTGGACAGCAGGTGAGGTCCAAGGAGCCAGGAGAAAGGTGGAGAGAGGAGACTTTGGGGCTAGACTGCAGAATCAGCATTCATTTTGCAGCCTTTTCCATTTGATTTCTAGCTGCGCCTGGTAGTTTGAAATCCTGCTCATCCACTCAGCCTGTATTTCTCACACACCTGATATGTGCTATGTGCTGTGTGCTGTGCTAGGCGGTGGGAAGAGCCGGTAAGGCAGGTGGCGTGGGCAGTGGCAGAATTGGCCCAGGTAGAGAGCGGAGCGGATGCCATCCTTTTGGCAAATAGCTGACATTTCACAGTGTGGTGCTGGGTGAGACCCCTGTGGGAGGTGAACAGACGTGGACAGGACTTGGGTCCTGGACTCCACATGCGAGTCCAGGAAAAGGAAGAGCAGCAGCCAGGAGAAAGGAGGGAAACCAGGAGCAGCTGGCCCACCTGCCACGCCCTGACTGGCTCTTCTGCCTCATCCTCTTCTGCTTCTCAGGGAAGGGAGCCACAGCCCATCTGGAAACAGGTGGGTTCATCCGCAGCCAGCCTGGGGTCCCCCACCCGGACATCCAGTTCCATTTCCTGCCATCCCAAGTGATTGACCACGGGCGGGTCCCCACTCAGCAGGAGGCTTACCAGGTGAGCAGCTGGAGGAGCCTCAGCTTCTCAGGATGTTTCCTTCCCACCAGGAAGGAAGATGCTCCCATCTTCCAAGACAGCATTCTCCCTGGTGCCATATGGCTGCAGAGTGGGGGACACAGAGGCCTGTCCCCTGCCTTCCAGCTGCCCAGCGTGTCGGTCTGTGTGGCGCGTGCCAAGGGTATGACTGTTCCATGCAGACTAGGTACCGAGCACCAGAAGTGGGACAGACTGGGGGGTGCTGTCTTGGCCCTGGGATCACCACCTCCGAAAGCTTTGAGCCATGGACTATGAGGCCAGGATGAAAGAGTGATTCACTGAGGTGGTTTGTAATCACTCGTGGAGGTGGGTAAACCATGCGGACAAATGCTAACATGCATCTGCTCCCCACTGATTCTGGAAGCAGAGGCCCACCCTGCAGGTAAACCAGGGTTGATGGAGTTCACTGTGGATGTCTATGGAGGGACCATCACTCCTTCCTCTGTGTTCTTCTAGGTACATGTGGGGCCCGTGCGGGGCACAAGTGTGGGCTGGCTCAAACTGAGAAGTGCCAATCCCCAGGACCACCCTGTGATCCAGCCCAACTACTTGTCAACAGGTAATTCACCCACCTGTGTCTTTCTGGGCTTGAACAAACGATTGCCTTTGTGGGGTTCCTGCTTATCCCTGAATCATACCCTTGGACTACACTTTCCAAGACACAAGTGACCCTCTGTCATCCCCTGCCCCATCACTTTAGGCTGTAAACTTGTAGAGGGAGCCCCGTAGTGTCCCGGGACACGTGAAAGAAATGAAGTCCTGGGGTTTAGACAGTAGGGGAGATTTGCAGCTTTCAGAACAATCTGCTGTGATGTGCAGGGAGACCGCGCCGTGCAGGTGCCAGGTCTGTAGGTAGAGCATTTTTCCTGCTGTCACTCTGAGCAGCCTCTAAAAGCAAATGTCATTCCTGGGCCTGCCTCCTTGCATGCAGCAAAAACAAGCACTACCCACTGGGTGGGTTTTGCCCAGCGATGGCTGCAGCGTGCTCACAGCCACACTGTGGCAGGGGCAGGGTGTGTGTACTTATCCCTGCCCTAGCGATAAGTCAGACCCCTGATTGAAACCTGAGCCTCTGGGCAGGCTGTGTCCTTGTAGGATGCTACCTTTGAGCTACACGGTACAGTCTAACCAGCTATGGACAGGGGACAAGCAGCCTGCTGGCTCAGTCCCCCACGGCCCTGAACTTTATCCCCAAACACTATCCCCTCAGACAGCTTACAGAGCCTCTCCATGCTGTGCATCTTCCAGTGAGGCCAGCACGGGCAAAAGGAGGGGTCCTCACCTGTTTCTTTTCCTCGACAGAAACTGATATTGAGGATTTCCGTCTGTGTGTGAAGCTCACCAGAGAAATTTTTGCACAGGAAGCCCTGGCTCCGTTCCGAGGGAAAGAGCTCCAGCCAGGAAGCCACGTTCAGTCAGATAAAGAGATAGATGCCTTTGTGCGGGCAAAAGCCGACAGCGCCTACCACCCCTCGTGCACCTGTAAGATGGGCCAGCCCTCCGATCCCACTGCCGTGGTGGATCCGCAGACAAGGGTCCTCGGGGTGGAAAACCTCAGGGTTGTCGATGCCTCCATCATGCCTAGCGTGGTCAGCGGCAACCTGAATGCCCCCACAATCATGATCGCAGAGAAGGCAGCTGACATTATCAAGGGGCGGCCTGTACTCTGGGACAAAGATGTCCCTGTCTACAAGCCCAGGACGCTGGCCACCCAGCGCTAAGACAGTTGCTGCTGGAGGATGACCAGGGAAGCCCCCTGATAAGCCAAGAGGGCCAGCACAGCCCTTGCTCCCAGGTGCCTTCCTGAAACTGTCTAGCACACTGGGACCCAGGTGGTACCCTACTCAGTGGCTGAGAATTGGATAAATTCTTGGGAAATGAGACAAGTACTGGGCAGTGAATCGAGCTCCTTTTCCCCAGCCTTTCCCTGTGGGCCATTTGGGGAAGGCCAGCATTCAGGCTCAGATGCTTCTCCCTGCCTCCTGGAGGGACAGAAGGGGAGGATGGTTAACTCCTGCCGCATCCTTTGTCTCGTGTTCACATGGCATTCTCTAACCCAGGGCAGTGGTTCCTTCCCAGGCCATGCACAGAGGCTGGGTGCCTGCCAGACCCGCGGAGGGTTCGCCAAGGAAGGGGCGTCCTCCTCCTCGAGTTGCAAGCTTTAGCTGAGGCAGTGAGTCACACAGTAGTTAGTTCAGCCTCAGCTGGCACATAAGTCTCCAGTGTCCCTGTTCAGAGGGGAAAGTTGCCTGCTGGTAGAAAAACTGGCTTTTCCATTCTCGCTTCCTAATTTCACTCTCAGAGTAAGGCAGGTAACGGGGGCTTGGCTGGGTCACTCTGAGAGGGGTGTGGCTCTGGTTATTATTAAACTGGGGCCAGGTGCAGTGGCTCACACCTGTAATCCCAGCACTTTGGGAAGATCACTTGAGCTCAGGAGTTCAAGACCAGCCTGGGCAACATAGTGAGTCCTTGTCTCTGGAAAACAGTTAGCTCGGCATGGTGGTGTATACCTGTAGTCCCAGCTACTCAGGAGGCTGAGGCGGGAGGATGGCTTGAGTCCAGGAGGTCGAGGCTCCTGTGAACCCTGATTGCACCACTGCACTCCAGCCTGGGTGACAGGGTGAGACCCTGTCTCCAAAAAAAAAAAAAAAAAAAAAACCTGAGTTTTTTTGGATCTTATTCAATGGGAGAGGAGTCTGGAGGGAATACCACTTGACTTCACTACCAAAGGTTTTATGACTTAGCAATTTAAGAGGTTTTCCTTTTACCAAGAAATGCGGAAACCCAGAGCAAACCCCACATACCAGATCACTGTTTCCTACTGAAGCAGCTAGCCCGAGAAAGGACTCTCTCATAATGGGCTTGGGAAATGACTTGGCAGCCTGAACCATCCCAGCAGAGGACAAGGATGGTTAATTCTTATTCTCTAGACGTCCACAGGAACAGACTAGGATGGAAAACGCAGTTAAGCACAGCCATGCACCCTGTTTGTGTAGAAATGCCCCTGTGTGAAAGAAAAATAAATTCAAGGTTGGAGTTTTGGAGGAAAAAAAATACAAGTAGCATTTACAACAGCTCTTTGCTCTTTAAATTTCTTACCATTCAATAAAATGATCCAGTCACTTACATTTGAACTGAGATGCCTTCTCCAGACTGTTCTGACAAGGTAATGGAAATAAAATGCACTTGGATTTTTCCAGACATCCACATCCACCATCAAGGTCTGAGAAGAAAAGCGTTGTTACGTGGAAACCTGCATCTGCACTAGGCTCAGAATAAGGACGGGAGAAAATTGGGGGATTCCAGGCTTTGCTGGGATCTGAGAGGATTGAGGTGGCATGCAGACTCTAGGGGATCCGACGGCCACAACTTAGTTGTGAGAAAACCTAGAAAGGCAGAAGGAAGACGCCCATCACACCTCTCCTTTTAACAATCTTAAGCAGCTCTTGTTTAATCTTACCTGTATTTTTAAAAAAATTTTTGTTCCAAGAGAGGGTCAAGAAAGAAAATTCTAAACTGGCCAAGAGACTTATTTATCCTACGGAGGGTCCCCACCTGCCCCACAGCAGCAGTCCATGGCCATCAGTCACCTGGGTCTCAGGGCTGCCTGCGGGAGTGCAGGCACAGGAGTTGAGGTGCCAGCCTACGGCTGGGAGGGCCTCATGCAGCTCTCCTGCTAGAGCATGTGTGGATTCAGGGGCAGGGGATGGTCCTGGGCCAACCATGACTCTGCTGACCCTTCTTCTCTGGAACAGGCATGGATATGGCAGGGTGACAGTCACTTAGTTCTACCATCTCTGTGTCCCATGGGTGTGTCAGCCTCTGAGACCACAGTGGGTTCAGTCTGGTGGCTGTATTTTAAAATAAGCAAGACATCATGTGGTAAGGAGCCCATTGAGGGTGCTGCTTGATTGCACCCAGGCCCTTCTCTCACTCTCAAATACTTAGTCATGTTGTACACAGTCGCACAATTTGGCCATAACAGGAATGAGACTCAAAAGAAAAGATGGTAAGTGTCATATGTCCAGAACCTGAGAGTTCCCCTGCCATGAAGGGAGCCTTTCACCCCAGGAGGAGAGGCTGTCAGCTGAGGAAGCCAGCATGGGGGAGAAAGGCACTTGCTACACAGTGGGGTGCACAGAGGGTACCCCCCCCATCTTCAGTCTCATAGGGAATCGGGCCCCTTGGCAAAAAGCTTGCAGTACCTAAAAACAGAGAAACATGCTTTGCAAAAACGGTTCACAAGCGCACAACAGAATGCTGCGCATGTGCCCAGTGCTCTTGAGAGCCCTGGCCTATTGCAGAAGCCTGTGTTGAAGCCGCTGCACTAGTAGAAGGCAGTTCCTGATGGAATAGGGGACGGGGTGGGCTGCGTGGGCGCCAAGAGCATCTGCCAGCCCAACTGGAGATGGTGAGTTCCTGAAGCAGGAGTTGTAGGCACCCAAACATCTAGTCTTTTCTGCTCGTAGCGAAGGTTGCAGACATCATCTCCATGAATTCAAATAGATTCTTCTTGGCTGGGCATGGTGGCTCATGCCTGTAATCCCAGCACTTTGGGAGGCTGAGGCGGGTGGATTACTTGAGGCCAGGAGGTTGAGACCAGCCTCGCCAACATGGTGAAACCCAGTCTCTACTAAAAATACAAAAATTAGTTGGGCATGGTGATGCACGCCTATAGTCCCAGCTACTTGGGAGGCTGATACAGGAGAATCTCTTGAACCTGAGTGGTGGAGGCTGCAGTGAGCCGAGATTGCACCACTGCACTCCACCCTGGGTGACAGAGTGAGACTGTCTCAAAAAAACAACAAAAACCAGATTCTTCTCCAGCCAACCGGGTCCCACCACTCAGAAGTGGTTTCATGCTTCTGCTGATAAGCCAACTTAACATCAGATCCAATACAGATTTCTGTAAAGATAAAATACCATCTCTACTGGCCCTGTTTAGTGGCCCAGGCTGTCCCCACAGGACATCCCTGAGACCACCCTGTCACTCCTGATGTTGGAACCAGAGCCCAGGCCTGCTCCTCATTCTCTCCTGCCCTCCTAGTCCCCAGGAGAGGAGAAGAAATTCTGTTTTAGAGAAATAACCTTTCCAACAAAACATCCCTGGAGTCGGTTTTTGAGTTGGGGTGGGCTAGTCAGGGAGTCGGGGCTCTGTGCGTGATGTCAGCTAACTGTTTTTATAAACCAGCCAGCTACCCATCATAACAGTAAAAACTTTCATAGGAAATGCAATTGGCAAAGACACGATGCTGATATGTACACAAGGTGAAACTGCTCCAGTTTTTTCATAGCAGGGTCAGCAGTAAAGTGGTGCCCTGGTCCCATCTCACAGGTGAGCCTGCACCGAGAGGTAACGTGACCCTCACAGCCCACCATGCCTGGCTTTTGCCTGAAACTTCTTAGGATAGAGCTGGAAAGTGCCACCTGGTGAAGTGAGATCCAGCTGTCTGGGTGGATATCGGAGTCCATAGGCTGAGCAGAGATGGTTCTCAGTGAGGTTCTCGCTGCCAGTTGACAGTGAAATCATAGCTGCCATTTACATTTTGGGAGATTATGAAAAACATAAGATTAAAGAAACTAAATATATTATTCCTGTGGACACAAAATGTGTATTTTTCAGGTGGGGAGGGAATAAAAAAGGAAAAACATTTCATCTTAAAACTTCCCTAAGACAAAGGAAAACAAAAAACCATGCTCTACAACTTCAAATTTTTCTTGCAAAGAAAAATTTAATATTCGATGAGAGGTTGAACCAGGCTTAAAGCAGACAGATATTAGGAAGTGGTGCAGCCTGTAAAAACGCCAGTTTGTAAGTACTGACTTTGGAAAAGATCATCGCCTCTACCAGACACTTAGGGTCCTGGTCTGGCGATTTTGGCCTGATGTGAAGCCACACAGACGGAGAGAGAGACAGAGTCCAAGATAATGTTGACAGTGGTGTAGCCCTTTAGGAGAAATGGTGCTCCCTGCAGCTGGTATTAGGTTACCATTGGCACTGAAGGAACCAAGAGGATAAGAGAGAATATCCATAATTTCAGAGCTGCCCTGGCACAGTACCTGCCCCGTCGGAGGCTCTCACTGGCAAATGCCAGCTCTATGCAAGGAGAGCTCCCAAATATAACAAAATTATTACACAGTTTTATTCTGAAGAACATTTTGTATTTTAATAAAAAAGGATTTATGTCAGGAAAGAGTCATTTACAAACCTTGAAGTGTTTTTGCCTGGATCAGAGTAAGAATGTCTTAAGAAGAGGTTTGTAAGGTCTTCATAACAAAGTGGTGTTATTTACAAAAAAAAAAAAAAAATCCATTAACAGGTTGTGTATATACTATTAAAAATCCTGGACCAAAATTGCTACCTATCTTTTTGATTGCAGGGAATCCCTGCCAAGGTAACTTGACAGTTGGCATAATTCTGTTGACAGAAAAGGAAGCCTTGACGGTTCTAATTATCCAAAAGTGGGTTTTCATCAGGACATACAGTCAGAGTGTGAGTGCATTCTAATGAAAACTTCAGCCCTCATTTAGTTGCATATAAAAGCCCTCAAAGAGAACACACAGTACAGCAGTTTTGTAAAAGGCAACAATACGATTTGTACAGACCCCGACATTCCAATCCTATAGATCACCATGTTTTTCCTCTGTCCCCCCCCACCCCAGCACCCCTCATTTCTTAAGCAGCACCACCAGTCCCCAGAGGACAAGAGCTGCTGTACCCCATCCACTTATGCATTTCTGCACCAGTGATGCAAAAAATGCCCTGGGTGGGCAGCAGAGAAAACCATAACTCTGGATACCCAAGGGGCAGAACAGCCGGCTGGACCTGCTCTGTAATTCACTTACCAGAGGGTGGTTCAAGTCAAACAAAACCAAAGACAGTTGCAACGCATGGTGGATCCAAAGGTACGGTATCAAAATCATGGAACTCTTGCCCAAAGAAAAGACTGCAAATAGTCATCTGGTATATCTTGTGGAAAGATAGGTTTATAGTGACTCAAAATATTTTAGAAAAATTTCTGTAGTGTCAAGTTCTTTCAAACTTAAAATTTTACCCCCAGAGGATTTTCACGGAATAAATGAGAATTGGCTCTATTTCTTCTACTTCTGGATAGCCCGAGTAAAAATACTAGTAATTTCTAGATTTTAGTGGGGAACTACAATTATTAGGACCCATGGATATTGCTGCAGTTCAAATACGGTACAGTAATTACAAAATATAGACCATCTCTTTACAAATACAAATTATAGTATATTACAAGTCATGTACAGTAAATCTATAATTTTAAACAAACTAGTGTATCTAAGTTGACCTGGTTGCGAGTGCATTATTATTCCAGTTTACAGTTGCCCTTTAGCGTGACAGTCAGAAACCGACCATCGGAGTGAGATTCTCTTGTGTAAACTGGAGTGACGTCACAGAAAACCTTATTTGTAAGGTCCCATTGCCCTCACAATGATCGCTGGTAGCTGGGTTCTGACGCACTGTATTTCAGAACAGCTAAACAGGAACCAGGATGCAGTGTATTTGGGGGAAAGGGTTTAAAAATGGATATGTTGCGCCCAGTGACTGATATGCTAGACCGATGGCTGAGGTAATGACACAGGTGTGATGATCGTCATCACCTTTAACTTTCCCCTGCACCCCGCCGCCGTGCCTTCAGGTGGGTGGGCCTGGTGCCCTGGTACATGGGAGATGCAGACTCCACAGTAGTGCCCATCTGGACAATGGGGCAGGGCGGGTCTGGCCGCCTCACCCATCCTCTGTGAGAGGGCGGGGCCTGTTTCCTGCAGCTGGGGCCGAGCTCATGGTGCTCTGCCAGGCTCAACCACTTGGGACCTGTTCCTACCAGGTTTATGGCTTTCTTGAGGCATGACATCTCTTATACAAAAGTCTAATTGAATATTACTCCCAACTAGTGCCTAAACTTTCCTAACTATGAGGCACTTTTCCCCTGGCCCTCCTGTGCCCCACCTGAGGCCAGAGCCAGTCTGCCCCTCGCTGGGGGCTACAAGGTGGTGATGCATATCATTTCATCCGCCAGGTCCTCTTCATCCCTCCCAGGGTCTGGCTCTTCGTCGCTGTAGCCAGGACCAAAGTCCTGTAGCTCATAGTCCTGCCGGTGTGAGAGGGGGCC